AAACACAACGGAGCAAACAACCTTGTAAAATATTATGATGGCAGTGCATCAAAATTCAATGTCATCAGTTTGCCAAAAAGAACACAGAAATGTTTTACACACTGTTTACACCTGGGGTCCATTCTTCGTACTTTGCTAACTCAGCTGGATTTGATTGTTGACGATTTGGTCCGTAAACTTAAACCTGCTCAGGTGCAGGCTTATTTAATGTAAACAGGATTATATCGCATCTTTTTAAGCAGAACTAAAACTTAAAATCTGTCCGCTACCACCGCTACTTTATTACAAGGGTATCCTACTGATCCAGGGACAATAATTTCAAATAATAATCATTTAAAAATTAATTTAAAGAGATAATAATTTTGTGTAGTCTTTAATACTATAGACACAGCCAGTTTTACTCACTGAAAGATTTATTCGTCATAAAATGATTACTTCATAATTGTATTAGAGTCTTACACACATCCTATACAGATAATGTAGAGTCGTGCATTAATTTGAGTGGTGACAGATATTATGGGAGTGGCTTGATGGAACTGCAGGAGATGCAGATAACATGATCTAGAACCTACTGATCCAGGGACAATAATTTAAAATAGTAATCATTTAAAAATTAATTTAAAGATAATAATAATAATAATAATGTTGTGTAGTCTTTAATACTAGACACAGCCAGTTTTACTCACTGAAAGATTTATTCGTCATAAAATGATTACTTCATAATTGTATTAGAGTCTTACACACATCCTATACAGATAATGTAGAGTCGTGCATTAATTTGAGTGGTGACAGATATTATGGGAGTGGCTTGATGGAACTGCAGGCGATGCAGATAACATGATCTTGACCCTTAAGAAACTTTAAATAATGCTGTCACGTAACAAATCTGTTCATATATATAAAGTTTTGTTCGCTTGGCTGTTTCCTTATAAAAGTCCAGAAATTTGTCAAGTTTTTCATCAGGTGTCTCTTTTTATTATATGATGTCTTGCCGCCAGCCAATCACTGAATTGCTGATCGTGGTTTCGAGTATCGATACATAGCCCCTTTTAAACCAACCCATGAACGCGCAATTATCTCAGATAACTCAATCCAGCCATACTAATCATCAACAACAGGTGCGTTCGAAGAACCGAATTAGCCAGATCCTGATTAGCGCGATGATATCATCTTGGATGGGACATTTCATCTCGGATGTAATAAGCGACGTACGAAGAACGGGCCCCTGGTAAGGAGCAGGTGTACATTTCTTTCGTACCAACTAACATTTTGAAAATACGAACACTTTCATGAATCCGAAAATTTACGTCAGAACAACTTTACGAACGATTGACAAATTCGTTCTGCTCGTGTTTCATGAATGAGGCCCATTGTTTTAAATCCTGTCACGTGACTACAATTTTCTGTGTTGCTTGATATTTTTTTACATGCAGGTATTTTGACTAAAGTTAAGTGTTTTCCTGCTATTTGAAAAGTTCATTTGTCACAAGTAGTACATAAGCAGTTAAGTTCTCATGCCATTCTAAAAACAACTCGATTAAATAAAACATTTCAATAAAGTAAAAAAAACAAGGTTTAAAAAAAAAAAAAAAAAAAAAAAAAAAAGGATTTTAGTATTGGTAATAAATGTTAATAAGATTAAGACTTGTTGGCGCCGATGGCCTTGTGGGTAGAGCGCCGACATACAGTGCAACTGTGCTCACGGTGACTTGAGTTCAATTCCCATCTCAAGGTCCTATGCCGATCCCGCTCCCCTCTCTCCACCCAGTGCTTTCCTGTCAACTCTCTACTGTCCTGTCTCTATAATAAAGGCATAAAAATCCAATAAATAGAAACTTTAGAAAAAAAGATTATAACTTAATGAAATAGAAATAAAAAAAAGCATTTTGTCACCTTCTGCGTCATTACCTAGCAACAAGGGTAACATTAAGCAGCTGCTGCTTTGATGACAAACGTACCACAGTCAATCCAGCAGAAGCAATAAAACTCAGATTCAAACCAATCAATCAAACAAAGTCTGAAAGCACCCTTAAAATAGACATGAAATGAAAATTCACTATTTTTGAAATGCATGTTATAGAATTTTTTATTGAACAAATCATTGGTGTATGCTTTTTTTGACCTTGTAATGTTTAATCAAAATGTCATAACGGGATCTTCTGCTGAAAACGACTTTTTTTCTTTCTGGTTATGCATTCAGGACTTCCAATCATCATCTCAAAATCTGATTAACAACTGATGGATAGAACCCTACATTTTCTATTTTTCTTAGTTGACTTTACATCACAATACAGATGAAAAGATCTCCAGCTACATCCATTTCATCATGACTTTAAAGCCTAATTTCATAGGCTGTAAGTGTGGTCTTTTATTTGCTAGGACATTTAGAGCTCTAAAAGTTACAACATGTGTTCAAAGTACATCACACCATAATATCAAAAGATTAAGGCAAATTTGTTTCTCAAAAGAGGTTTCCTTTAAGGGATTGTTCTCACCTTGGTATATCTATAGGCAGAGGTCACAACTAAGTCCTTCACCGTTTCCACCATGTTTTCACCATTTTCATCCTTCTCCATGACTCAGGTGGGTGGTCAAACTGAAGTGAAGCCTCAATATCAGACACTCTGGGCACCTGTGAATGACGTTCTATAGCATTAGTTTAACCGCTGTGACAATGCAGTGCACATTTATTTGGTTAGTCATCAAAAAACTAGCTATCCAATCCAAAATCAGTGAGCAATTGAACGATTGTACAAACAGGCTGCAATCAGTTTAGCAAGGAGTATATAAATCCCGTGAAGTCTATGAGAACTTCAAATTAAATTTAACTTGGTTCTATTTTTAATGAGGATTGAAAGGTGTAGGGATTTAATATCAGGTAAATGTCTGGCTCCAGAGTAGCGGTTTTATTAGCAAATGACGAGACAGACAATAAGCAAGCTACAGAATATTAATCAGCCTAATGAAGGAACATTGCAATAATATCTCTCGCATGAACAACGTGTCTGTTTTGAAAAAAAAACAATCACCTCTCTCAACATCCTGATGAACTCACCTGATATTAGAAACGGTGTCACAGCACCTTCTCTCTCCCCGCCTGGATACCGCAGTTAGCTTCTGGCTACCTGTCCAATACCGAACTACAAGAGATGCTGCAGTCAGTCCAGATTTAAGACAGGACGCAGATGAAGCTTTCTGCCTAAAAATAAAATTTCTCTGTAGACAATCCTGACAGGAGGCTCGGATATCCCTTGTCACTCCAGATTTATTCGCTAATTGTCAGAGAAGCATTTCATTAGCAAACTGGCTAAACTCAACAAGCCGACGCCGAGGATTTACTTCGGTTCTTATGGAGAAACGGCTCTATTTGCAACGTTTCCGCTTTTTAATTATACGTTTGGCTTGTTTCTCCTTTGTTTGTTTTTTCGTGAGAGCCGAAATTTGTTTGTTTATTTATAGGCTAGTGAGTCGGGTTAGCAGGCTAGGAAACTTATCCCCACTCATAAAGCTGCACATAAAAAGCGCGTCAATACATTAATGCTCACGTATATTAGGACCAATTCCAGCAGATAACTGGGTTCTAACAATAATTAAAGCTTGTAGTCCGACTGCAACAATCAATGTACCTCGGGGTACTTTCTCTGAGCTCTCTCTTTCGTCTCTGTTCAGTCGCAGAGCGGCGAATTTCTTCTGATCTCTGACTGGTTCTGAGAGAGGCCCCAATCAAGGATTATATAGTGTCTAATCACGCCTTCTTTAAAGTTTCAAGAAGCAAACACTCACGTTTGATTGTAATTTCAAATCTAATTACACAGAATACCAAACTGCGTGGATAGAAGTGTGTGTTTTATTCAAGGGCGTTGACAAGAGTCGTTATAGAATTTTAGAGCAAGAATACATTTCAGGCAATCAACGTGGCCACCCATTGTAAATTGTAGTCACGTGACAGGATTTAAAAAGCTTAGTTTTTTTACAGTCTATGGTTGAGTTGCTTGATTTTTTTTTACATCATTCTGACTGTAGTTAAAAGTGTTTACCTGCTATTTATTCGATTAAATTCTATTATGTTCACGATGGATTCTGTTTTAAGTTTATTGTCAACCACGTAACTTAGTACGTAAGTTTTCATGCAATTGACCTAAATTTAATACAACAGTATTTTAATAATGTAAAAATAAAAATGTAATAATTACAAATTATTATAAGATTAATAAGATTAAAACGGACTAATGTATGTGACCTTAACCTTGTCATGACTTTTGCGTGACATTTTTAAATGAATGAAAAAACACAAATTAAACATCCATGCACCTCAATATTAATTTGACAAAATACTTTGTACAGTAAGGCATAAAAGATCAGTTCTAAACGCTGCATCAATAATCACTCATTTCAAAATCAATGTAATACACCTGAATTATTTAAAAATATCTGTGTTAATATTACTGTAACGTAGCTGCATTATTATTAATTATAATATAAATGCATTATCAAAATGTTCAAAGTGCCCTTTTTAGGAAGGTCTTTTATTATGACATAATTTCACCGGAAGAAAATTTATTCAACAGAGGAGCGGCAGTTATGGTTTGTTGTTAGTTGTTGTCAGTAGGATAAGTCTTAGTTGACAGCCTTTTAATGAGCTGCTAGAGCGTTAAAGCGTCAAGTTAAATCTATAAACCCCTAAAAACTACTTTATTAACTTTATTTCAACCAGGTATAGTTCAGGCACCGGCCGCTAGACAATGCGCTGATTGACTGAAAGTCATGTATGCTCGAATAAAGCATTAAAAAGATGCAAACGACAAGACCAAAAGCTGGGAAACAGTTGTCTTGTGGTGTTGAAATGAACAGGGCACGTAAAACACCTATATGGAAAAACACTTACCGGGTCGGATACACTTGGAACCGAGGTGGTAGACTTAAAGAGCTGCGGATAAGGTAGGAGATTGTTCATTTTAAATAACGCCATAATGACATCCTCCATTCGTTTACTTGTTGTGAATGTCATCAAAAGTGACTATTGCTTTGGGTTTTTAGGCATCTTGCTCGGAAGTTCCTTCACTTATGGATTCGGAAGACATTTGGGCGAATAACAACATCACAAGCCAGGTCAAGTGTGGTCATGTGTTCACTTAATGCACAAAGAAGTACTGCAGTGGTACAGTAAGATATATGATGTTCTTTATTTATTTAATGAAGTTAGTACTTTCTCTTCAGATCTCATTATTGTAAGGTGGTCTTGAGGAAGACTTTATGGGCTTGGAAAGATGAGTGGTGGCATGCAAGAAAGGAATGGACCCTAAATATAAGGGCAGATTGCCATTATACGTAAGTTAAGTCTCTTATGCTCACCAATGCTGCATTTATTTGACCAAAAACACAGTAAAAACTGTAATATTGTGAAACATTATTACAATTTAAAATACATGTTTCTATTTTAATATATTTTAAAATGTAATTTATTCCTTTGATGGCAAAGCTGAATTTTCAGCAGCCATTACTCCAGCCATCAGTGTCCCGTGATCCTTCAGAAATCATTCTAATATGCTGATTTGTTGCTCAAGAAACATTTTTCTTTATTAGTCTCAAACAGTTGTGTTGCTTAATATGCTTTATATTTTTGTGGCGGCCGTGATACATTTGTTTTCAGGATTTTTTGATGAATAGAAAGTTCTAAAGAATGACATTTATTTGAAATATAAAGCTTTTGTAATAATAATTAATTGCTGTCACTTTTGATCAATTTATTGCACCCTTACTGAATAAAAATATTAACAAATTAATATTAAAAAACCTCGCTTTTAACATAATGTATTATTTCTGCCCATTTTAGCTATATGCTGTGCAGCAAAACATTTCAAGCCTGGCAGGAGTATGTTGCTGTCCAGAGGGAAGAAAAGAAAAAACTGCAACTTGCAATCAGATTTGGTATATAGGCTGTTATTTTATTAATATTTTAGTTTATAGAGTTGAATGAGGATGTAAATAAAGTTTCAGAGTTTCATCTCACATTACTGGGGATGATTATGTTGAGGTATTATTAACTGAATATTTGTACTGCAGAGACGAAGCACAAGCTGCGGTGTGTGTGGAATGGCTGGGAACTGTACCTGGACATGTGTCGCATGAAACGCAGGATGCAGGAGGCAGCAGTGCAGCACCAGAGACTCGCTGTACTAAAGTAAGCACTGTTTTTCTGTGGTGTTAGAAAAATATTGCAGAGTAAAGCAGCCAGATACACAACTAACAGTGTTACAATCCTGGTGTAGGGGAACGGTGTAACATAAATAACAGGCTTGAATATGACAACATAATTTTATATTTTAGAGAAAAATCACAAATCAGTCAATATGTTGATATAATTTTACGTATATGAATAAATAAGTAACAGTATTAGACCGAAATATATGTACACTACTGTCCAAAAGTTTGGAGTCTGTAAGAATTTTAAATGTTTTTGAAAGAAGTCTGTTGTGGTGCTTTTGTTTGATCAAAAATACAATAAAACAGTAATATAGTGAAATATTAATACAAAAAATTATATTATAAAAATAATAAAATAACTGTTTTCTATTTTAATATACAGTGGCGATTTAGAGAACAATCTATACATTTTTTCTGAAATATTGTTAATCTTCATAGCTCAAAATTTGAAGGATTATTAGCTGTAGGTATACCACTGTTATACTAACATGTTTGACAAAATAACCAAGGCATTTCAACAAAAACCTTTATTTTGTGGAAAAGACAGTGATCAGAATTAGAGAACAGTACCCACTGTAGCACGAAAGAAGTTAACAACTAAATATTTGGAGGGTTACAGCTGTCAAAAATGAGCAGGAATTGTAGAGGCCCTTGCTTTGAATGACTTCAGCACATCTGCGGCCGCAGGACATCACTAGTTTCTCAGACTGCGCTGGTGTGATCTTGATCCACTCTACTTACTCTCATCCAGAGTATGTGAGCGGAGTGGAGCGGCAACAATTTCCCCTCCGCGCTCCGAGCATTTAATAATCATTCCGCTCCGGGTTCACCATTTCCCGCTCCCGCTCCACTCCTCGCTCACTGATATCAGAAACACCGCTCCGCCTTCGCTCCATGACGAATTTTATGGCTAAAGTGTTTCAGTATGTTTTGAAATATCTTTAAAAAAAAAACAGCCCTTCTACCGATTTTAGGATAACTTCAAATAGGACTATGCGGTGATCTTGAAATTTAGGAAATTGTAGGTTGTTCTCTAATTTTGATCTCCACTGTATTTTAAAATGTAAATTATTCCTGTGATGCAAAGCTGATTTTTCAGCAGCCATTACTCCAGTCTTCAGTGTCACATGATCCTTCAGAAATCTTCTAATATGCCGATTTGGTGCTCAAGAAACACTTATTAGTATTAATATCATTAGTATTCTTTTCAATGTTCAAAAACAGTTGTGCTGCTTAATAGTTTTGCAGAAACCATGATACATTTTTTTTTCTGGAAACTTTGATGAATAGAAAGTTCATATGTATATATTTAGAATAGAAGTCTTTTGTAACATTATAAATGTCTTCACTGTCACTTTTGATCGATTTTTATGCATTGTTGCTGAATAAAAGTATAAAAACGGTACATTTATATAATATAAACAGTAGTTTATTTAATATAAACAAATATAAAGATCCCTGGGTGTCACAGTGAAGGCCTATTTTTAGTGGCCTGTAAGTAAACTACTAATGTGAAACATTTATGTATGTGTTGGTCATTAAAGGTGGGTTTGGACTGTGTGGAATATGACGCTACAGCACAGGGATGTGAAGTATCATCAAGAAGATCTTGCTTTACAACACTGGGCTCATACTGTACAGAGCAGAGTGAGTATGAACATGTGTGAATGCAAGTGTACGATGAATTTGTGATCTCTAAAATTGCTGTTCTTCACAGGCATGGCTGCACTGGAGAGACAGGATGAAACATGCCTGTGTTCTGAAAGAGAAGGAGTCCAAATCTCATCGTCACTATTGTCTTCAGCTGTTAAGACATGTACTGCATGGATGGATAAGACACAAAGAGAACAGACAGGCTAAGAACAAGAAAACAGGTGCCATTCATTTTATATTTATGAGATATACTACTGTTCAAATAAATTGGTCAAAAGTGACAATAAATATTTGTTTCAAATAAATGCTGTTCTTTTGAACTTTCAAACATCAAAGAATCCTGAAAAAGAAATATATTATGGTTTGCACAAAAATATTAAGCAGCACAACTGTTTTCAACATTAATAATAATAAGATATGTTTATTAAACGCCAATCATAATGAGATTATTTTTGAAGGATCATGTGATACTGAAGACTGAAGTAATAGCAGCTGAAAATTCAGCTTTGCAATCACAGGAATACATTTCATTTTAAAATGTATTAAAATAGAAAAACGTTATTTTGAAATATTTCATGATATTACCGTTTTTACTGTATTTTGATCAAATGAATGCAGCCTTGATGAGCATACATTTTAGCGTTTAAAAATCTTAGCGACCCCAAACTTTTAATATGTAAGACTTTTTAATTGCTATAACTTGAGATACAGTGGCAAACTGATCAGTCACAATTATGCATTTATTTTTTGCATTTTATGAATTTCATTTGTCTTCCGTGTTGCAGCTGTTGCTCAGGATGTATGGCGTGTTGCTGTGCTGGAGAAGTTTTGGTCTCAGTGGAACAATGTG